CTCGTGTATAAGCTCCCCTGCATTCGGGGCCATGATGTGGACTCCAAGGATCTGGTCACTCTCCTTCTCGGCAAGTATCTTCACGATTCCCTCCGCATCATCTATCGCCTTTGCCCTGCTGTTTGCCAAAAACGGAAACTTCCCGACACAGTAACTGACCCCGAGTGCCTTCACCTGCTCCTCTGTCTTCCCAACCGAAGCCACCTCTGGGTGCGTGTACACCACACCAGGAACCATATCATAATCCACATGCCCTTCCTTTCCGGCTATATACTCCACGCAAGCCACCCCATCCTCCTCGGCCTTGTGGGCTAGCATGGGCCCTGGGATGACATCACCTATTGCGTAAACGCCCTTCACGTTAGTTGCGAATTTATCGTTCACAAGGATCCGACCCGCTTTATCAGTCTCAACACCAATTTTCTCCAGATCGAGCCCGCTGGTGAATGGGACCCGTCCTGCCGAGACGAGGACAACATCTGCCTCAATGGTAGTCCGGTCACCGCCCGCAGCTGGCTCGAGCGTTAGCTTGAGGCCTTCTCCAGCAGGATCGACCGAGACAACCTTAGTCTTGAGGATAAACTTCATCTTCTGCTTCTCGAGCGAACGCTGGAACTGCTTCCGGACCTCTCCATCCATGGTTGGGACAATGTCGGACCCAAACTCGACCACAGTGACCTCCGAGCCGAGGCGGCCCCACACGGAACCCATCTCAAGGCCGATGTAGCCGGCCCCGATGACCACAAGCTTCTTGGGGATTTCCTTTAGGGCCAAGGCGCCGGTGGAGGACACAATCTTTTGCTCGTCGATGGTGATGCCGGGGAGGCTCTTGACATCCGAGCCGGTGGCTATTATGATGTTTTTGCCCTTGACAACTTTGTTGTCTCCCTCCAAAGTTTCAACTGAGATTTCTGAGGGGGAGAGGAGTTTGCCCCAGCCCTTGATGTAGTTGACTTTGTTCTTCTTGAACAAGCCCTCGATGCCTTTTGTTAAATTACCAACGGCTTTGTCCTTCTGGGCCATCATGGCAGGAAGGTCTACCTCAACGGAAGAGACCTTTACACCGTGGCTGGCGAATGAGTGTGTTGCTTCATGATACATGTGAGAGGAATGAAGCAAAGCCTGCAAAAGGTGCATGAGTCGCTAAAACGTGAAATCACCAGGAAAGTTGAAAAATTAATGTTTTCGTCTATTGAAAAGTGGTCAACGTATGGAAAGAACCTATGTCACAAGCAGATGAATAATAATAGACTATAGCTTCATCAATAGTGAACAGGAGAATTGCATGTTGAGCGATATCCTACAGAAAATATGTTAACTCACCAGCTTTTAATGTTTAAAAACACTTGAATTGCATAAAACAACAAGATAAAAAAAATGGTTATTTCACTAATCATATCTATAGATAAGATATATCGGCATTAACCTTCTTCATTCCTATATGCAGAGTGATACTAAAGTGCAGTTTGAGAAACCAGATAAATATATAATTTGTTCACTATAACTCGATAACCAGATAAAAAATAAAATGTTCGCTATACAATAAGTCAGTAACCAGATAACAAATAAAACATTTGCTGCTAAGGCAATTAAATCATCTTCTACAGAGCATCTGGGATCCACAAAATGCTCCGTGGAACAAAGAAGTGACAGAATTGTTTAACAGAAATCACATCAAACAATGTTGAGGGCCTGAGGCCCTTGTTTCAATAAGAATACATATCCTATTTGCAGAAGACGTGCCTGTGTCAACATCACTCTATCTCGAGTAAGCAATGAGTTAACCAAAACTTGGTACTATGCAGTACTCTATAGTGCTGTTCTTGAACTTGAATGATAACTGTCATAAGCACTCAATACAATCTTTATATCTTTTTTTAATCAAGAATCACCAATTAAATCAGAATAGCAATCAATTCAGTGATTCACTGACTACTTGCGATTAGCAGCCCAAACACTTTGTAACCCAATCAGCTAGCCCAATCTTCGATCGACACAACACCGAATCACAAAAAGCTTCCCAATGAAACGCAAACATAAGCAAAACAATTAAGCAGCGGACAGAAAAAGGATCTGATACACGCAACAAACTGCAAACACAAACGCACCTTAGATGGGATGCAACCGACGTTGAGGCAGGTCCCGCCGAGGGTCCCGCGCTTCTCGATGCACGTGGTCTTGAGGCCAAGCTGCGCCGCCTTGATCGCGGCTACGTAACCTCCAGGCCCGCCGCCGATGACGACGACGTCGTTCTCGTCAGATCCAGAGGCGAATCCCCTGCTCGCAATCCACGAAAACTTGGTTCCGCTGCAGATATTCTTCGAAGAGGAAGAGAACAGCGTCGAAGCTCTTCTTCTAGCGAGACTCGCCATCGCCATTTTTCGTCTGCTCTTTAGGGTTTGGTGATGCTATTCGCTCAGCAGAAGCTTTTTGAAGAAGATGGAATGATATGTGGGGGCATTTTCTAATGGGGGAGAATGTTGATTTTAATATTGAGATTTAATCTCAGCCGTCGAATAAATGGATGCTGACATAGACTTCTTTGGTGTCCGTCGGATCAGCGATGGCAGTGGAACTAGAGATTTGTATATTTCTATCAAAGTCTCTTGAAATAATCTTTTATATATATAATTGTTATGTGTTTGATTTTGTTTTGAAGTCTAATAGCGGCCGGATGATATTTTCTATTATAAAATGATGAGGAATTTACATATCTACTTAATTGATTACTAAATAATTGTAAAGATACGAAACAAAAAATTTATTTGCACATCTACCTAATCTAACATAAATATTTAAATAAATACTACATATTAAAGACATTCTCTTTCCTCTCTCATTTATCTACTCCTAAAAATTCTCCTTATTTACACTCTCCAATTCATTCCTTTTTTATTTTCTCTCCTCTCTCCTCTCTCCTCTCTTCTATCTTTATTATTTCATTCCTTTAAGTTTTAATTAGGGGGTGTCTATATGTACACCCCCTTGTGTGTAAAAAAGGGGTGTACATATAGCATTGCCCTTTGTGTAATTTATTAAAAAGGGGTGTACATATAGCATTGCCCTTTAATTATCTCTTCATGTAAATTTTTAAGTAATTTTTTTGACCTAAAATTATCTAATTTATTATAGGTTTATAAACTAATAAAAGAATAAATAAATTATGAAAAAACATC